TGCCCGAGTGACTATGAGAAACAGAGGTCCTAATGACCCATAATGGACACGTTTTGTCATTGAGAAATACACTTTTGTTATGTTAAGCCACTGAGATTTGGGGATTTTCTGTTACTCTAGCACAGCCTAACTGATCCTGACTGATACACTCTTGTCAACCGAGGCTCAGGGACACCAAGGCCTTTATCCCTGTTGGTATTCTGTCCATTATGATGGGTACCATTGCATTCCCCTTGCAAGTAATAAAGCCTATTTGATTCAACCTAAATTCAAAATGCAGTCACAAAACTGTTAAAAAAAAAAACATGAGGACATTTGCGGGGCTATTTAAAAACATAGTGGCCAGGTGTGGTGGCTCATGCCTGTAATCCCAGCACTTTGGGAGGCTGAGGTGGGTGGATCATGAGGTCAGGAGTTTGAGACCAATCTGGCCAAGAGAGTGAAACCCCGTCTCTATTAAAACTACAAAAATTAGCTGGGCGCAGAGGCAGGTGCCTGTAATCTCAGTTACTCAGGTGGCTGAGGCAGGAGAATCACTTGAACCTCGGCGGTAGAGGTTGCGGTGCACTGAGATAGTGTCATTGCACTCCCGCCTGGACGACAAAGTGAGACTCCATCTCAAAAAAACAAAAACCCCAAAACAAAACCAAAACAGAAAAACACAGTATGGATATCCTACACATGTCACACTCACCACCAACACAGGTCTGCAAGCAACCTACTAATGAGTCTCCCTTTCCCCGAGAGCAAAATGCCGGCTTCTGCCCGGTATCAGTTCTAGCATTAGTGGGCTAATTTCAGAGGCCCTGGATTGTAGGCCTGATTCTGCCATGTAGCAGTGACTGACCTTGGACAAATTAACCCTCCAAGCCCCAGTTCTCTTATCTGTAAAACGGTGATGATACTAAAAACTGTGTCATAGATAAGGAAAGTTAACATTTGCACATTTGTTGTAGTCACCACTCTGTGCTGACAGAAGGATAATGTGTGTGGAAGTGCTTTGAAAAGGGAAAGCTCTGTGCAAATATTAGTCGATAATATTTTTAGCCAATACATGACCAAAGAACACATCCAAAATCAAATAAACCTCCCAATGCCTTCAGTCTTTAAAACTAAGCCCAGGTATGGACATCGGTATGTATTTACAGTTCTACAAAAGGTCCCCTACACAAATCTCATTCTTAAATAAGGACAAATTACTTATTAGCTGAAGAGGAGAGAGGTCAAGTACATCAGAGGAGGCTAGTCACATCAATCATCGGAGTTCCGCAGCATCCAGCAGTGCTAGTTCCATGTGTTAACTTCCTGAAGAACCACAGACTTGCACATCCAATTACGCTTCCTGTCCCTTTCCTTCCCCGTGCGGAATCCACTTCAGTTCATCAATGGGGTGGGAAAGCCTCCTTGTTTTGCAGCCTTCCCTCCATGCTCCAGGCATCCATGGAAATGCCCCTGCCACCCCATCATCCCTTGAGTTTTTAGGGCTTCCTCCTTTAGCAAGATTTCCCTTTCCAGCCCTTGGGGCAGCAGCACAGCCTGGCTCTGACCTCGCAGGAGCGGTCGCCTAAAAAAGGCTCTGCCCTCGGCCGCTTGGGGTGGCGCCTGCCCAACTAGCTCCTAAAAGGAGCCTCTCTCCCTCTGTCTACTCTAAGCGCCTTGGGGCCTAATCGCAGTCTCTGCCTAGGTGCTGAACTTGCTTCTCCCAGGCTTGCTGTAGTCCAGTGCTTCTCTAACTTGACATTACCTGAAGGGCTAATTAAAACAGATTGCTGGACCCGCCCCCAGAGTTTCTGATTCAGCGGGGTTAGGATGGGGCCAAGAGCTTGTATTTCTAGCCAGTTCCCAGGAGATGGTGATACTGCTGGTGCCGGGGCTCCCTTCTCGAAACCACTGCGTGTAGGCTAATGGAGCCCCAGGAGGGAGACGCTCATCCCATCCCCACGCCCACCCACGATGCTCTCCTGTCCCGAGCACAGTATGAATAGGGAATAGCTGCAGCAGCCCAGGAGGCAGAACTGGAAGGCAGGACCTGAGGAGTATAGACTGTTTTATCTTGGGCATCCCTGACCGGTTTGTACAAGTCATGAAGCAGGCAGGAAAGAAGCCTATGGGTCTTCAGTGTTATTGGGGGCTCTACTCACCTCGTCTCTTCCTTCAACACAGTGGTTGGGTGCTAGCTCTAGGGTTATGAAGTGAAAAAACAGAATGCCAGCCCTCCAGAATTTGTAGGAACTGGGAAGGAAACACGCAAACCATTACAGTGCCCAGTGCTGATGAGATAACTCTTCCTATGCAATGAGAGTCAAACTTCTGTGGAGGGAGAGTGGGTGAGGCTCTGGGACTGTCTGAGCGGCTGGAGGTTTCACGGAAGAACTAGCACTTAGGATTTGCAGGATGAATGGGAATTTGGCAGGTACAAGGGGTAGCTGAGAAGGGGTGGGATGGGAAGTGTTTTCCCCAGGCAGAAGGAAGGAGCAACAAGACTGCCAAAGTGTAAGGTTCCAGAGGCTGGGATGGTTTAACAGCCAGCTCTCCAGCCCGGCCAGGTTCCCTCCAACCTTTCTGGCAGCCGCTTCTCAGCTCCTGTCCATCATGGCTGGTGTTCCCTGGGGCTCTGTCCTGGCAGCCTTTTCCTCTCTCTCCACTTTTACCGCCAATGAGCTCCTCCACTCCTGAGGCCTCACTGATGGGGCCCAAATCTGTTTCAAGCCCAGGCCACACTGCCTCAGTTGCACACTCACCTCCACAGGATGTCCCCATGCCCAGGCATCCTTCCTTGTGCATTTTGTCACAGTGAATGGCACCAGCATTCACCCAGTTACCTAAACGAGAGGGCTTTATGAAATGACCCTCTCATAGACTGCTGGAGAAGAGTAAATGGCACAGGAACTTACTAGTGCCATTTACCCAGACAGAAAATGAGAGGATGGCTGTTGAGCTCCTCTGAAAGTCCACAACTTACTAGCTGAGTGATCTTGGGCAAGTTACTTAATCTGTTTTCTTATCCATAAAATGGCTTTGATGATACTACTTACCTCACAAGGTTGTCATATGGATTAAACAATATTAGTTGCTGTCATTCATTGAGCCATGTATTAAGTCCTTTACTTGGATTCCCTTGAAGATGGAGTACCTAGTCCAAGGTCACACTGTTACCAAGTGGCAGACTCAGGTTTGGAAGCCAGAGTTCTCTGGCTCCAGAGCCACCTTCTTCACCTAACTGTCACACTTTCTGAAGACTGTATACCAAATAAGGAAATGCTTACGGTACAATGTTAAGAGGATGGCAAATTGTAAAATCAGTGCGAGTAAATCCACAAATAGCAAAGGCTGCAAGGAAATAGAGCAAATGGTTAAATATGGTTGTAATTTGGTAATTTTTCCCTCTAATATTTGTATTTTTCACATTTTCTGTATACATTTTTTAATTAAATAAATATAACATCAAAAACACATTACATTAAAAACAATTATAAGTCTACAACCTGTTTCCCTGTTTGAAAAATTACACTCTTGGTATTTCGTCTTGGTTCTCGTCTTACTACCCTGAACAGAAACTCTTCAATCTTCCCAAAGGCCGTGGTAGGAAGCGGGTATTGCAGCCATGTCCACCCCCACCCACCCTTCGATGACAACCTGGATCCTGGAGCAAGCTGTCAAAATCAGAGGGACGTTCCAGGCAGAACCCGGACTGCTTTACCGCCTAGGGCTTTCTGGACAGCGCTACTTCAGATCAGTTACTTTTTTTTCTTTCTTTCTAAATAGCCGGCCGAATGCTCTTTTTCCAGTTCTGGCTGAGTTGTTAGCTGCAGCCCGGCGGCGACGCCTGCCAGGTACCTGGCTCCGTGAGCACCGCCCAAACTGGTCAGGCCAGTCCGTCCTGTGGCTGTTTCTGCCAGGACTCGCCCAAGTGTGTGTACGCGTGTGTGTCAGAGACCCACCCTGCTCCCCTGCAACCCAGGTAGGTGGAAGGCAGTTGCAGGCAGCAGCCTGGCAGTCAGGCCAGATGGGTGGGGCTGAATTAATCTAACCTGGAATTTCAACTTGGCCTGCACAACAGGTGAGGGAAAAAAGCAGCAGAGAGAACGGGCAGTTTGGCAACTTGGAAATATTCCTGAGCCTTGCCCCTTACCCCCTGCCTGGAACATAGCCCAGGGTGACTCTCCAAAGTGTCTGCGCCAGGTTTTAGGGCTTGGTCGCGTCACGGCCCCCTCAGAAGCTGTCCGAGCCCCTCCTGAACGCTGTCCTCCTCAGTTACCCTCCGCGACGCGCCCGTTCCCCCTCCTCTGGGAGGCAGGGCGGGGGTATCGGATTAGTCTTTGTTTTCGACGCGAAAGAGCCGAGCGCGGAGCAGGGGAGGCTAGCGATGGCAGGGCCGTGGGGTCCACCTGGACAGGGCACTCGGCCGTGACCCCGGCAAGGGTGCCCTTAGCCTCTGCCCCCAAGCAACCCCTTCTTGCCGGCCAGGCTGACTCGGTACGCAAACGCGCGATGTCCCCCATTGTCCTGCCTCGGCACGAGCCAGAAGCAGCCGGGACAGGGGGGTCAGTCGGGCCCGGCGCTCAGGCCTCCCGGGGGCGCCGGGGCCGTCCCGGACCGCTCGGGCCCGCAGGGAGTGGCAGGAAGTGGGGACACCGAGGGCAGCTCGGCCGAGGGCCTAGGCTGGGAGGTCCGCGTGCCCCACCCCGCCTCGCCGGCCCTGGCTGCAGCCCCGCCGCAGGGCGAGGGTGACCAGCCCGATGGGGGCGGCCGAGTCCTGGGAGGGCCGACCGCGGGGGTGGGAGCCACTGCAGGTGCAGAGACGCAGCGGCCCGGCCGGAGCCTGCCCCCCGCCGCTCGCGGGCCGCCCGCCCGACCCCTCCCCTCCGCGGGAACCACCACCACCCTCGCCCGGCCTGGGGCCCAGCGGGGCCGGCGGGGCTCGGCGGGGCCGCACGTGTGCGCCCTCCCGGGCGGGGGAGTCCCCGGGCGAGCACGTGCCGCGGTGCGCGGGGGGCGGGGAGTCCCGCGGACGCCTTCATTGCTGCTGCTGCTGCCGCCGCGGCCGCCGCTGCCTCTTCCTTCCTCCTGCGCCGTCCCCTCCTCGGCCCGGGCGGGGGGCTCCGCGCGCCGAGCTCGGTCGGGCCGGGCGCTCCGGGAGGCGGGCGCCCCAGGCGGCGGCGGCGGCGGCCGCGACGGTGGTGGCGGCGGCGGTGCGGGCCGGCAAACTTTGCCCCTTTGTGCGCTCCGCCCCGGAGGCGGCGGGCAGGTCGGTGCAGTCGGTGCCTTTCCGGCTCCGGAGTGGGGGAGGGGCGGCGGGAGGCGCGGGGGCCCGGGGGAGGGGGCGGCCCGGAGCCGGCGGGGGGCCGCTCCTCCGGTGCGGGGGGCCGGGCGGGGGTGCTGCGGGGCGCTGTGCCGCGGAGCTGGGCGGGGGCGGCGGGGCGGGGGCGGGGGCTGCGGAGCCGCCGGAGCCGAGTGGCGGAGGCCCCAGAACAAAGGAGCCCGAGCGGCGGCGCGCGCGCGGCCCGGCCAGCGGCTCGAGCGCGCCCCCCTCCCCGAGCCCCTCGGCGGCGCGGGCTGCCCTCCCAAGTCCGGCCGGCGGGCTGCGCTCCGGCGGCGGGGCGGCCAGGCGGCGGGCGCGGGCTGCCCCGGGCGCGGGCTGCCCCGGGCGCGCCCGCACCTCCAGGCCGCTTCTTTGCCGGGGGCGCCGGGGCAGCCCCGCAGAGCGAGGCTCTCAACAAACTTTATTTTGAAAGCTCAGCTCCCTGTTGGAGGGCCGGGCGGCCTCCAGCCAGGGTGTGTGGGGGAATTTGGGTGAAACTCTCACTAGCCCGTGGGGGTGGGGAAGAGAGCAACTTTCTTAGAAATCTCACCTTGGCCACCCCCTTGAATCCTTCGTCCAGGGCGCCCAGCAACCCGGAGGCCCGAGGCCGCCTCCCTCAGACAGGGAGCGGGTGCTGGGTGCGTCCTGTCTGAGGTTCTGGGCAGGACCTCATTTGAGCAACCCCATTTCTTCCCCCATTTTCTCTTTTCCCAGAAGCAGGAAGAAGTGACACGTGAAAGTTGTCCCTGAGCCCCGAGTGATGCGCTTCCCCTTTCTGTCTTTTTCAGGCAGCGCTGGCTTCTCCAGCGTCCAGACCCCGGAGGAAAAATACCAGGAGAAACTGCTCACTCAGCTCTGACCCCACCACACCCCCACTTGCTCACCTAATGCCTGGGTCCAGGGTGGGTAAGGGTGAAGAACCCACCGGGCCAAGATGATCCTTTTTCTGGGGACTGCTGCTGGTGTCCTCCCCCAGATCCCGGGCCCCAGCAGGTGGGAGAGTGGCCCCCTACGGAGCCCGATCAGACTGCTGCAGAGGAGGTGAAGAGGGGTTGAGAAGAGGCATCCATCTGGGAGACGGAAGCCACTTGCCTTCATCCTTATAGACTCTTGACTGTTGTAGGCGAGAAGGACCTGTTGGTGGCCTTTGCAGGTGGCAGGAAACTGGACTGTGGTTCTGCTCCTGCACCTATGCCCCCACCTCTGGCAGCATCATGAGTCAGTTTCAGGTGCCCCTGGCCGTCCAGCCGGACCTGCCAGGCCTTTATGACTTCCCTCAGGGCCAGGTGATGGTAGGGGGCTTCCCGGGGCCTGGGCTCCCCATGGCAGGGAGTGAGTCCCAACTCCGAGGGGGTGGAGATGGGCGGAAGAAACGGAAACGGTGTGGTACTTGTGAGCCCTGCCGGCGGCTGGAAAACTGTGGGGCTTGCACTAGCTGTACCAACCGCCGCACGCACCAGATCTGCAAACTTCGAAAGTGTGAGGTGCTGAAGAAAAAAGTGGGGCTTCTCAAGGAGGTAAGCTGGCCTTTGCTAGGCTACCCTGTCCCTTCCTCGAGGGCACGGTCATCCTGGGGGTCTTGCTCAAGCAAGGCTTGTCCGGTTGAGCCCATTCTCCCATTTCTGATCCTCTTGGTCCAACTTCGTGTAGGAGTGTAACAGAAATGTTTGTGCTCCTTTGCAGCGCTGACAGTTTGTATGAGAGTAACTGGGAAGAAGGGAGCTCTGAGCTAGCACCCTCATCTCTGATGTTTGCATTTGATATGGGATGGTGTGTCTACCTTTATCTCTAGAAGTTTCTGGTCCTGCTGCTTGAAACCTCAGATGTATTTCAAGGTCATGCTAATGCGTGGATGACTTGGGTAGTGATGGTGTAAGATAAGGGATGGAGGCTGATGGATTCGGAGAGAAAGTTCTGGGTTGACAGGGTGGTTTTATGCTGCCCTGATGGAGTGGGATGCTTCTTTCATCCTTTTTCTCAGAGGGCCGGAGAGCCAGTTGAAACTGTTTGGGAATCTAATGAGAAACTGATGGTTTGGGTTCCCCTATCTTAGTACTTCTTGCAGTCAGAAACTTTATCTCTGTGTTCTCAGGACCTGGCACAGTTTCTTGGCAGGTAGTAGGGACTCAGATACTAATTGCATGAATGGAGGACATGCTTTTGAGACACTGTCAACCCCAGGGAGGTGTACTCCCTTTATTTGGGGGTAGCAGGGTGGAGGAGGAAAGGAGGATTTGGGATGAGAGCAGGCAGGGCGGGAAGAACAGGGAGAGACGGTGACCTTACATTGGCCATCTATCCCTTCCGTTATAGCGGCGGACTGCCGGCTTGGGGTTGGTGACAGCCGCGACAGCAGAGAGTTGGCAGAAGTAGGGCCGAGTGAAGTTGAGCAGCTTAGGAGGAGCAGTGTAGCTGCTGAGGTCGCTCCAGGCAGGGGAACTGGCGCTGGACAGAGACAGAGGCCTGCGCTGTCTTGGAGCTCCCCCTTGCTCTACCACTCATTTGTCCAGGGGCCCAGACAACTCGCCCCCTCTCTGGGTCTGTCTTTTCCTACTTTATGGCTTTCAAAGTCCCTTCCAGCTGGGCTGGAAGCTGCTTGCTTCTGAGGACTAGGGCCCCCGTGGCTGCGATAGGCTGGCAGTAGGCTGGCAGCTTTTGCTTAGGGTTTCCCTGACCGCTCAGTGCAGAGCTGCACGGCAAGCTGGTGGGGCTGTGATCCCGTGGCTGGGAAGAAAGATTTAAGTGTAGGGGATGGGGAGGTGGGTTGCTGGATATTTCTGCCCCTTCTCACCTTGTCTTGTCTGCACCCTGTGGAAGCTGTATGTCCTGACCCAGGGACTGCAGACTCAGGGCCCTGTTTCCCCTGTCTCTGGTTAAAGCAGACATCTGGATCACATATGCAGCCACCAGCCCCAGCCTGGGAGACCTCTCTGTTGCTGGTGTTGGGGGAAGTTAGCATCCTGCTGGCCCAGTGTTCCGTGGGTCACTACTGAAAGCAGGATGCTATGAAGCTGGGGAGGCTTTACTTCTGGACATAAGAGCTGGTGCTTTGGTGTAAGGAGGAGCTGCTGAGTCTACTATGTAAAGCTTGATTCTTTTGCGCCCTTGCTTCTAGCATTCCTTTTCTTCCCCAGCCCCCATTGTCTCACTCAGTTCCTCCCATACTCAAACTGGAGGGGTGAGGATGCTGAGCTTCCTGGGCTAGATGTTCTTGGAAGCAGTGGCTCTTGTGAACCGAGTTGAAGTGCTGCTTTTGGCAACAACAGAACATACCTGAGTGAAAGGGGCTGGGAGTGAGGCCAGGGCCTTGTCATCCTGTGGGTAAGCTGTCAGCCCAGGCTACCGGGTGGTCTTGCTTAAGATATCATGGATCTAGGGTGGCTGAGGCTTAGAGACAACCCTGCTGAGAGGTGTCTGCTTCCCTGTGGACCTTGCCATGGCCAACTGCCCCTCTAAGCCCCAGGGTCAGGTAAGGTGAGGCTGGATGGTCTCGGGTGTCCAAGGACAAAGGGTCTACATGCTGGTCTGTGGATCAGTGCTGGCCCACGGTGGAGTTCTCTGTTTCTAGAGAAACAAAAGGGGACAGTGGAATAAGTTTTTTCATAAAGCTAACTTTCCGTGAATTAAAGAGCCTTCTACCTTTTTCTAAGGATAGGTCCTTTCTACTTCTTGATGTTTAAAATACGCTTTCTTAAAATGTGCTTTGTGAAGTGAAGGTATGATAAAAAATAGAATTTTTTTTTTTTAAGTTTTTGCTTGGTAAAATACAAAATGGTAACCAGTGCCGGTGTGACTTTTTTTTTGGGGGGGGGGGCGGGGGCGGTCTGTGAAGGGTGAATGCCAAAGAGTCACTGTCCAGGCTATGCTGCATTTAATGGGCATATCTCTGGCATAATTGAAAAACTGAGACATTCCTGAGAGACTGCCTGAGTGGATGAGACCCCAGGACCAGCCCAGCATTTACTAGATGCTGGGGACTGCTGGGATCATAACCATTAGATCTTAGCAGTTGTGTGGCAAAGGGAACGTGTCCGGGATTGGGGAGGTTGTTTTGGCGGTGTCTGTTCAGGTGGGGCGGGACGTAGTATCCTAGGAGCCTCTTGGACATCAGACCATCTACCTGCACCCTGCTGCGTGGCGTTTCCTCCTCTGTGAGAGTGCTGTGCTCCTCTGGCCACTCTTCTGTACTTCCCTTCTGTCTCCATCTCTCCTAGCTGTCTTTGGGGCTTTCCTTTGAACTGTTTGCCTACAGCTACTTTATATCATTCTGTAAGGAGATTATCTTGGGTTTTCCATCTTTCCCTGCTCCTCACTCTTTTTCTCAGTGGGCTTTGGGGGTGAGGAGGAAGGGTGGAGGGGAATCCCTCAGAAAAGAAGTTCAGCATTTTAGGACTTGAGCCAGATCTCTGCCAGATTTGAGACAAGACACCTTGGAATTTGGAATCTTTTAACAATATCAGAACACCTGATGAATCCTTGCCCATCATGCTGGTAGTTCTATCTTGCTGAGGTTGGAGGCTGTGGAGAGAAATGCTTTCAGACTGGTCCCAGCATCAAAGGGAGAATTGACTGGAGAAGTAGAAGTGATGAGAATCTTCTGTGCCTTCCTGCTCTGGGGGGAGGTGACTACTTCTCTGTGTCCTAATGTGAGGCTGGGGCAGGTTGGTAGTAGCTGTGATCTTCCTTCCTAGTTCCAAGAAGAATTTAGAGGAGGCTGTTTTATTTCATATTCTTTCTACCTGAGTGGTGGCTTGGTAGCACAATGAGGATGACTGATTAGAAAAGTCGGGTTTGCTGAATATGGAGGCACAGAAGGTAGGGCTCAGAACCCAGAGTAAGTGCTGTGCCCTTACTGTCTTAGGCGACCAGTGCTCCATCCCTTCTGTGTCTATTTTCTCAATTGTAAGATGGGAGCAACCCTTCTTTGTAGGGTTGTCATGAGGATTAAATGGGATAAAATGTGTATAATGTCTGGCACAAATCAATGCATGATGACAAAACATTCCTAAACATCTAGAAAGGGATGAATCTTTATGCATAAAAAACTGTGGATTTGTCTTTGAGCTGTAAAGATGCAAAGCAAGGGCTGGGTATGGTGGCTCACTTTTATAATCCCAGAGTTTCGGGAGGCTGAGGCAGGAGGATTACTTGAGACCAGCCTGTACAACATAGCCTGTTGCTCCAAAAAAAAATAAAAATTAGCCAGGCATGGTGGCAGGTGCCTGTAGTCCTAGCTCCTGGAAAGACTGAGGTGGGAGAATTGCCTGAGTCTAGGAATTCGAGGCTGTAGTGGGCCATAGTCGGGCCACTGGGCTCTAGCTTGCATACAACTCCAGACAAAATACAAATTAAGTGTTTATCTCAAAGCATTCTCCTCACTTGTTCATAGAAGAACCGTGAGGCAGAACCATAGAGCCAGGCGGAGGGAGGGAGGAGTTTGGTAGACTCCATTGGGGGGAGGAGGCTAGACACCAAGGAGTCACTGTGGTCATGGGCTTGACTGAAAAGTTGCCCATGGGTCAGGGAAGTGAATAACTGTTAGAATAGAAGAATAACCCTTTACCAAAAAAAAAAAAAAAAAAAAAAAAGCGCAGTAAAATGTGTGCATGAGTTTGGAAGTATGACTGAGAACATTATGGGTGAAAATTAGAGAAATGGGGCCGGGCGCGGTGGCTCAAGCCTGTAATCCCAGCACTTTGGGAGGCCGAGGCGGGTGGATCACGAGGTTGAGAGATCGAGACCATCCTGGTCAACATGGTGAAACCCCGTCTCTACTAAAAATACAAAAAATTAGCTGGGCATGGTGGCGCATGCCTGTAATCCCAGCTACTCAGGAGGCTGAGGCAGGAGAATTGCCTGAACCCAGGAGGCGGAGGTTGCGGTGAGCCGAGATCGCGCCATTGCACTCCAGCCTGGGTAACAAGAGCGAAACTCCGTCTCAAATAAATAAATAAATAAATAAATAAATAAATAAATAAATAAAAAGAGAAATGGAAAGATACATGTTAGGAGAATACTTTCTAGCCCTCAGCCAAGTGGACTTGGATCTTGAAACAGATCTCTGCCAGATTTGAGACAAGATACCTTGGAATTTGGAATCTTTCAACAATATCAGAACACCTGATGAATCCTTGCCCATCTTACTGGTAGTTCTGTCTTCCTGAAGATGGAGGCTATGGAGAGGAATGCTTTCAGGCTGGTCCCAGCATCAAAGGGAGGATTGACTGGAGATGTAGAAGTGACGAGAATCTTTAGAGAAAGGGACCTCAATCTGAGCATTTGTCAAGCCTGAGAGAGGGCTGGGCAGGGAGGAATGTTTACCACAGTCTTTAGAGTATTGTTTTTCAAATGCAAGCAGTTTTTAACCTCAGGTCCACAGATTCTGAAAGAAAATTAGCTGGAGGAATAGGATTGCTTGTTAAAAAGGAAACACTGGCCGGGCTCCCAGCACTTTGGGAGGCTGAGGTGGGTGGATCACGAGGTCAAGAGATCGAGACCATCCTGGTCAACATGGTGA